TTCTGTTCTTGATGCTCATGAACTGATGCATGGACAATGTTCTGGTCTGTTCCAGTACTGCCTATTGCAGTTCCATTTCAGTAATATTTTGATTTTTTGTCATTTACCGTGCGGTCAGATGCTCAGCTCTGTGGAAGCTAGTGATGACAGGAGGCCTACGCACATGCAAGGCCACAACAGTTTGAATTACGTCCCTTTATTCACCCAAGTACGTGCATTTCTTTCACCCTCCTTAATTCACCTATCAACTCTGAATGAGAAACACTTAGGAAAGCTGTGAGTGGGGAATACAGACTGTTAGAAGGAGCAGCACAAATAAAGAGAAAGGTAAATTTCTAGCTTTACAGTCAGGAACACTGGGAAAGCAGGGAGGAGGCTGAAGTAGGCATATGAAGTAGAAGAAATTATATTCATTAAGGCAATGAGGATAAAGGAGATTGTTCTGCTGGATAGGAGAAAAAAGACAGTGCAATAAGGCATGTGGAAACATCATCAGTTTTTCAGCAATTAGAAAATGAAAAAAAACTGGGGGGGTGGGGGTGGTGTTAACTCAAGATAAAGGAAAAGGCTTACGCTACCAGAAAGAAATATACATTGTTAATATATCGAACAATGCTGTTCCAAACATTTTTCAGCCTCCCTTCTCCCTGTGTGATAATTTTATATCAAAATAGAATGCATCATCCTCTTAAACATGGAAATATCTAATCATTTGTAAGAAAAGTAAATAATCCACCTACCATCAGAAGAAAAAAAAAGGCCAAATTCACCTTACTTAATGATGAGGTGGCTACATTGTGGCGGGGTTCGTCAGTCTGAGTTTATTTAGTCTTTGTCAAAGCAAATATCAAAACCACGTTTTTGTTTCAAATCTGACTTGTGACACCTGCTTACCTATTTATAGCTGACGAAGTTCTCGCAGAAAGCCACAGTCAGTTCTATCTTATCTTACAGTAGGCAAAGTGCTGTTTGCCTTGCGTGGGCTTAGCATTCCTTGTTGTTTCCACAGGCAGTCTAATTAGGATGCATGTTCACCCAACAGAAGCAATGAATGGAGTGGTAAATAATAGTTGGTAGAGCAGTCTGAAGCGTTTCATTATCAGTGACTTATTATAATCATTGTAATTAAAAAAGATAAAAGGTCAAACAGGACAGTAACATACAACAGGGGTTTGCTGCTCACCAGATAATTTGCTTTGAGATTGATGTCGCCACACCATTCACAGTCACATCAATTCAATCCTCTTAGAAAAAGCTCCGTGTGTATGAGCCTTAAAATGATCCAATTATCATTATGTTAACTCAGGTCATTTGAGATGCTTTAAATGGAATTATCAGTGTGCACAGTTTCAATACTTGCATTTAACCGGCCAGTGGTTTAACCTCCTTTGGTGACTTCTGGCAGCATCAAGCTGTACCAGCCATCTATTTGTATAACATTGTTAAACAATCTGCAGTACTTCCCATGCAGAAGTATCTGCTTTGCATAATATGTACATAACCATGATCCTGGGATAAGCAGGTGAACTGTGGCAAGTGAGAGTAACAGCAGTACAGAAAAGAAATTATTGCCTGTAAGGAATGCACACCACCATGGCTGCCCCGTCTCACCACTCAGCACTGCTATGGGCTCATGCCTTCCAAAACAAATGATTTATCCTGTGTTGAAGCTTTTCCTAATGCTTTAAAGTTACCGATGTGATCAAGACAGCAGACCTATCTGAGGCTAGCTCTGAAACTTTGAAATTTCTAGGAAATTTTAAAATTCATCTTGGTATTAGCAGTGCCTTCTTCACCATGCTTCAAATGTAAGGCTTTTATGAGGCACATTCTCATAGCAACAGTCAAACTGTTTTCAGACACACATATGGCAACCCATATCTATTTACACAAAGCCAACCACATTATGTATTTCTGTTTCCTTTCCATTTACTGAAAATAGTGATGGATTTCTTCATTTATTGATTGTAATTCCTTAGTATAGTCTAAAACTGATAACATGCCAAACACATCCTTTGCACAATTCCTCTGACTTCAGAGTTACACCAAAACCTTTAATTCCAGAAGGGTTACAGTCTTACATAGATAAATTGAAGTATCATACTATTTCTTGACCAAATACCCGATTCTTCATGGGAATTGTTCTGCCTTTTTTACTTCCCAAGCACTCCAAAATAAGCTCAGGGAATTCAATACCTTAGAGAGCCAGACACAAATTTCCCAAGTCAATTATTTTCAGGGTTTTTTAACACATTTCTGAACACATAATATAATCATTATTGCATTACATTTCCTTGAAAGCACCTATGCTATTAATTGCATCAACTAAACTTACTACTGGCATGAAAAAGTACAGGCCACCATGTGGGTAGAAAAGGGAAACTGGAAGTTAAACACCACCAACTGAAAGGGCAGATGAAGCGACTGTGAGAAAGGTAACTTGGCATCTGCCACCACACAGAAACAATCCCATCGAGGGGGGGATAGTCACCATCAGCTACATTTGTCTTAGTCACTGAATCTGCCAGTTAGTACACACAGAGCAGGATACACTTGCCAAATAATTCCACCGATCGGTTAATCTAGTCACAGAGAAAGGTCTTACTCTGCCTTAACTGTGCCCAATCCACTTCACTGCAAGTCTAACTTGCAGTGGTGATTTTCTTAGTACAGCCTTCACTACCGTTTCTTACTGCTAAGTTCTGGGCTGTAATCTCAGGGGGTATGTAAGTGAGCAAAGTCTATGATAATGAATAGACCACGCAGCCCCAGCACGTAGCTAGGACAGGGCAAGTATTGCCAGACCTTGATGTTGCAGAACCTACCAGTTATTGTCAAATCTCCTTGGGCACCTTCACAAACAAAGGGATGAAATAAGAGGATTTATCTTGAAATCTTTTTATAGTGGTTCTCCCTGTCCTATGCATAGCATGACCTTCCACAAACACCACATACTCTAGATTTGGCACAGTTTGAAAGCCAGGAAGTTTTGCTCAGGATGCGTTACAGTGCCACATGTGATCCGAATGTTGTACGTTTCTTTGCATTAGCTGTATTTGCTTGACTTGTTAATATCTTAAATATGGCAGAAGTAGCTGACATCATTTTGAGGCATCTGTACCAACTAAGGCAACAAGACTAATTCAGAAAGAATTGGAGAGACTGGGAGGTGTCACGCTGCACACCTTGACAAAGAATTTATTAGTTGCATTTAACTAGATATTCCAAAACTTGAGAGAATTATCAAGAACCTAAATCTTGAAATTAACCTGCTAGCTTTATGGAAATAAATCAGCCTATTAATGCAAACATATAATAGAACATGAACTTAGATAGAGAAATATCAAGTCTTTAAAAGCTCATAAATAGAGGGCCAAAGGGTGACCTTGCTCACAAGATGCCGCCTGCAACCCATATTCTGGGTTCTGTTCCTCGCTGCACTTCAGACTTCCTGTACAGTCTTTGCTGAGACATATCTATGCCTCACTTCCCTATTAAAAGTCAATCCATTTGGAATAAGGTTTGTCTCCCAACAAGAGCATGTCAAACACTTAACACAGTAGCCTTCTGCACTCAACAGGCACGTAAGTGCTAAACAACACAAATAATGAGCAACCACCTCTCTAACAACATAGCCCATATTCCTGTAACGATGGGTATCTTTTCTTTCTGAATGCATCTGTACCGCCCAGGATCTTAGACTGTGTATATTTATGTATATAAAAGTGACTTATCTTTACAAGGGTTTTGTTTGTTGTTTCTTGGGTTTGTTTTTGGGGGGGGGGGGTGGTGGTTTTTTTTAAGCCAATGTATTTCACTTAGTCTGTGTTTGAGAGAGCATAAGTTGGGTTTGGCTGACAGCTGTCAGGATCCTGCAGACAGCAATAGACAGTACTCTGCAATAATAAAAAACCCCAACAGTTAAAGTCTCCACTATTTTTGAGAGAAGACTGTCTATTTGTAGACTCTGAAAAAAACTTAGTGACACTTAGAGTCACTTACAGCGTTATTACTTGCTTCCTAAAGTCATACGTCATTAATAAGGAAATCATTCTTGCAAAACACAGAAGCCCTCACAAACCAAACAGATGCCCTGTAAAGGAGATCTCATACCCTTTCCATACATTTAATACAGTCCAGAAATATTTTTCCCATACACTAAGATTACAACTTCAGCTCTTGGATACACAAATTTTGTCACTATCTGAAAAGGTCATGTGAATTGTGGTTCCCCCTTGCACCCTTCTTAAACTCTTTCCACAGTTATTAAATGTGCAACAAATCAGCACGTCTGGATTCACACAGATTTTTTTTTTTTCTCCTCATTAGTAGTTAAATAGCATAGTTACAAGCCAGATTGGGAGCTAGGTAACTCATGAATATTTAACGTATTTATGGTACAACGGAACGCTAGATTGTGTCAGTGTCTTCACCTTTCTCTGTGATGTAAAAACTGTCTCAAAGAATTTAAGCTTAATGTAAAGAAAAAATATCTAGTGATTCACATCAGAGATCAGAAATGAGTACTTAACTGAATTCAGATTATTTTAACAGATTACTTTGTATTTACAGAATGAACTGGTGTTCAGAGTGCTTAAGTGTAGTTTGAGATACCTGAATAACTTTGCTCATTAGATATATCACCTAATAATAGAAAAAAATATAACCTAAAGACTCTCTTGAATTTATAAGAATCTGCTATTTTGAGTCTTTTATTATTTTTATGACATATGTTCACTAATCAGTCTTATTTTAAATTGGAACCTTGTTAATTGAAAGAAGTTTGTTAGATTTCATGTAGGTTAAAAAAAAAATCTAACAATGTTCAGCCAACTCCTAACATTCTTACCTCTGTTTTATTCTGCAAACAAAGTCTACATTAAAATAGAAATTGGTTGAGAACACTCTTGAAGATGGCTTATTTTCAAATTGCATTTAATTGAAACTTTTAAAAAATTAAATACAATGAATAATATTTTCTTCCTCTTTTCTCCTTCTAGGTGTGAACTTCATATTTTCTCCCTGAAACTAGGTTACAGCTGAAGAGATCAAGATGGTCCCAAATTACTCTGAAGAAACGGTTAAAAGAATCCATGTCGATTGTCCCGTTTCAGGAAGGCACAGTTACATCTACATTATGGTTCCAACTGTTTACAGCATCATCTTTATCATAGGCATATTTGGGAACAGCCTGGTTGTTATTGTTATTTACTGCTATATGAAATTAAAAACAGTAGCCAGCATCTTTCTTCTAAACCTGGCACTGGCTGACTTGTGTTTTTTAATAACTCTGCCACTCTGGGCAGCCTACACGGCCATGGAGTACCAGTGGCCTTTTGGCAACTGTTTGTGTAAATTAGCATCAGCGGGGATAAGTTTCAACCTGTATGCCAGCGTGTTCCTCCTGACATGCCTTAGTATTGATCGGTACTTGGCCATCGTACACCCAGTGAAGTCCCGAATTCGACGTACCATGTTTGTTGCCAGAATAACTTGCATTGCCATCTGGCTTCTTGCTGGTGTGGCCAGTTTGCCTGTCATCATTCATCGTAACATATTCTTTGCTGAGAACTTGAACATGACAGTCTGTGGTTTTCGGTATGACAACAATAACACAACGCTCCGGGTCGGGTTAGGTTTATCCAAAAATTTGCTGGGCTTTTTAATTCCTTTTCTGATCATATTAACAAGCTACACCTTAATCTGGAAGACCCTGAAGAAGGCCTATCAAATTCAAAAACATAAGACCAGAAATGATGATATTTTTAAGATGATTGTGGCAATAGTATTTTTCTTTTTCTTTTCCTGGATTCCTCATCAAGTATTCACTTTTCTGGATGTATTAATTCAATTACATGTAATAACAGACTGCAAAATCACCGATATTGTGGATACGGCTATGCCCTTCACCATTTGCATCGCTTACTTTAACAACTGTTTGAATCCTTTTTTTTATGTGTTTTTTGGAAAAAACTTTAAAAAATACTTCCTTCAGCTAATAAAATACATTCCACCAAATGTCAGCACACATCCAAGCCTAACAACAAAAATGAGCTCCCTCTCGTATCGGCCACCAGAAAATATACGCTTGCCCACTAAAAAGACTGCTGGGTCTTTCGACACCGAGTGACATGTTTTGCAATATACTTTTTTTTGAACAATCTTGTGAATGAAGCAGCAAGAATGACAAAACTCATCTGCAGTCCTGAACATCACAGCCTACTGCTCATCACAGAAACATTAGATCACCTCAGAGAAATCATACTGTAAAGATTTAGCAGTGGCCTTTTATTTTACATTGTGAAGAGGACTGCTTGGTTTTAATTTTTTCTTCACTGAAAGCAACATAAATGGTGGACAGGCGTGTCAGCGTTTCTGTCAGCATCCTGCTGTTTACACAGAACTACAAAAGAAGGATAGAGAAAACACCTAACAAGTTCAGAGATCTTTTTAAAGGAAAAGCTTGTATAAACTACACGAATTAAGAATGACCAGTTTCACACGTACATGAGCTATTCCAAATTTTGCTCAAGGAGTTGGAGCTACACTGCTTGTTTTGGTTTAATGACATAAATGTCATACCATATTTATAATATATTTTCAAATATATGCTATATATAGAGGTCCAATTTTAAACTCTAATGAGATCTAAGGTCCTTGAAATTGGTCTCATCCTGATTTATGCTACTATGTTTCATTTTTTAAAAGGCAAATTTTTCATAATAATATATACAATAAAATGCAGATTTATTTATTAAATATAGAATATATTTTTAGATTTATATTCCTACTCAGATTTCAAACATTGCTTCATAAATGTACATTTATATCCCAGTATTTTTATAGCAGTTATGTATATAGGTACGTATACATAACTATGTATACATAGTTATGTATACACACACACAAATGGTGTTCACTCAAACTTTTCTCATGATATGCCACACTGACTTTGAAGAACACTACTTACGAAGCGGGTTGACTCCATACTCTATGTGACTAAAGTCAAATTCTGTATTTGAAAACATGAGTTCTGGGACAGAGGTGATCAAAAAACCTCAAACTGTTTTTATATAATAACCAATTCACTCCATGGGAGAAGTTACCAGCTAATTCACTCAATTTTTCAAATTCCTGGACATTTAATAAACTCACATTCTGATAAGCAAAAAATGTGACGCTTATATTACAGTTTAGCTAATAATAGTTTTAGTCACATCACAAAACATCCACGACCAAACATTACTCTTGGCTTTTATGGAATTTCTCTCCATTTATACAAAACTAAGCCCAGAGTATCTGGTCCGGGTAGACTCTTTTTTTTATGTGTATGGAACACATTCAAATTTATGCTAGCATAAATCAGAACAAAAGCCTGGCTCAAACTCACCATACAAATGAGGAGGAAAGGTGATAAGCACTGTAAGAAATTTTAACTAATGATTTCCTCATGTGTCCTTTTTACCTCAAATGATGAGCTCCAGAAAATATTTATTCTTGATTCACACTCATTTATTGTCTTCAAAGATAAAGGAGTTCATAAATACTTTTCAACACAGCAAAACTTAAAGTTTCCAAAACTTTACATATATCACGTCGACAATAACATGACCCTTGAGAATTTGCAATATTTATAATCTTCAAAATAATACATCTAATGTGGTTTTGTCTCAGGTAGCTAGTGGTTGGATTATCCGTATTTTTCTGATTATCAGTCTCTTGCATATACACAAATATTTTAATTTTTTTTTTAAATTCAGGAAATTATTTTATATAAACTACAGAAATTTTTTTAGTGTGTTTAATACTTTTTAAAGAAAAAACAGAATTACAATCAGGTTTGGAAGTCTTGTGTTTCTTCCTGCTCTTTCATTCACTTATTTTAAGGCAAGTTTCTTCAGTTTTTCCATGGTTATTCCAGCTGCCAATTGTCAACAGTCTCCACTAGAATGGGAACAATCTCTACTTATATGTCACAAGGCACCGTGAGGATTCACTAGAACTTCTAAAGCCCTACGTTAAAAAATGCACTTTCATTAAAGTTTTAAGTTAATTTAATTGCAAGCTAGTATCTCAAAATTTGAAACCTGAATGTGTCATTTAAAGACATAGTTAAATTATTCCTATTATATATAATGCTTTATATTTAGCTTAGAGCTATCCTTATAGAAGAGGAAACCGTTCCTCAAAAATTAATATGGCAATAGTCCCATGCATTATAAATAGCATCCAGAACAGTACCACTGCCTCAGCACTCACTAAGCTGGTGAGGGACTGACAGAACTTGCCATTTATCTGTATGATATTCTGTTCATGTACACATGTGCATATGCTGAGCAATATCCGGAGGTTCCCCTGGCAGAAGCAGCTCTGGCTCAGACATAATTCAGTGTGCTGTGCTTGCCACCTGCTGGATGCAGCCACAAATTTGTTATTCATCTCAAGTGTTAGAGGAAGAGACAGCAATATTTCCCTGCCTCCTGATGGATCTGGACCTGTGGCAAAACCCCTGTAGAAACAAAATACAAACTTGTCCATCTGGGAAGCAGTTAACTTCCTTGACAGTGGCTAAGCAAGCATTTCCTATCATCTGCTGATCCCTTTGGTCACTGAAATCCAGTGTCCCCAACGACCACAATGGATTTTAAAAACATTAATTGCATTACTATAGGAGCCATCCCAAAGAGAAGAAACATACCTATACGTATAAAAATAAAAATCAAAGTGTATTTGCACAAGCGACAACTAAGTATTTAGCTGAAAGGATGCATTTATCACCAAGAAGAAAAAGAAGCAGAATCGGTAGTGACCGTTAACAATAAAATTTACTGTATTACAGCAGAAAACAGAAGACAAACCACTGGTTAGTGATTTTGATCATTTCATGCCAGATCCTGCATTTTTAAGAGACTGTGTAACCTAGCTGCTGGTGCCACCTGTGCCTACCTGCGTCATGGGAAAAAGCAGGAGCATGGCCATTTGACTGGGCTGCTGCCGGAAAGGCAGGAAGACATTGCAGCTGGTGTGCTTTGAAGGCAAGACTGACCTTGAATTCATAGGCAAAGAGAGTGGAAAGCAATGCTGCTGTTAAATAATGCTGGGAAAATTTTATTCTCCTAAGGGGTACGAAAATGGTCATCATCTGCCAAATATAGTGAATCCTAGTTTACCATTTCCTTAAAGAAAAAAAAAAGGAAAAGGCAAATAAATAGATACTGAAAAGTATCCAGAAATAAAACTCTCCATCAGCTCTAACTGGGCAGCAGCAGAGAACAAACTCTTCTGGAGCACAGAGTTACCGTGAACAGCCACATCCTGCAGGTTCAGGCATCCCCATAGAGCCCCAAGCTGACAGCTAGCTGAAGAATCCCCATTTCCCTCAGAACAACCAAACCACTTCATCACAAGTCTTGCTGCAACCAGTGCGGGTGCTAAGAAACAGGTCGCTGAGCCTTATGCTCCCCTGCCCTCCTACTTGCTGAAAATACTGTGCTGGAGACCTGTGCAGGGGGTGTACAGAGCAGCAGTGTGAGAGAGTGCAGGATCTGCCCGCTCCTGCGGGCCCTTGGCTGTATGGTCCCTACTGAGGGGCAGGTAGGAGATGGCCAGAGTATCCTTCGGTGAAAGAACCTACTCCTTGCTGCGAGATGGGGAGGGAGTAAGGTTTGGCTCTATATTACTTGGCCATCTTTGGGGAACTTGGGTTGAGCCATCTTAATTTAATATCAAAATAAGAACTAGCTATTTTTGTTTAAGAACAAATTCCCACTATCTTAAAGAACTCAAAGTCAGTTAAGATGCAGTAGTATGCTGTTATTTTAAAAAAAGTAGTATCTAAAGTGCTTTTCATTCTCAGGATGACCAAAGCAAAATACTTGACAATCTCCTAGTCTGTCCCTGTACTCTCCTGGTGTGAGGAACTCAGACCAGTATTAATGAGGACAGCATACAGCCAACCCTAAATACAGGGGTCACTACTCCCAAGCTATCTCAGTTATATTCTGTTGACTTGTTTGAATTAATACTTTCTTTCTGCTGGCAGAATAATTACTAAATCACATTATGTTTGACATGCACATGCATAATATTTATTTCTATTTATTGTGCAATAGTACTTTGTATGACTCATGTTCTGCTCTCTACTTGCTTGGCCATTATACACCTATGCTAAATCATACTATATAATCTTCACTGGTTAGCCTAAATTCCAACTAAACAATTGCAGATACAATAGGGATTAATTTGGCTTCTCAGCTCAACAATTATCCTCATGTTTACATGGTTAATTGAGATGTTGCAGAGTAAGGAAGAGGGCTAAAAGTCCTTTACTTTACCAGAACTACTATTTAGGTGATGGTTTTCACCATCTACTTGAAACTGTGACAGCAGCAGAGAATATAGCAGGATTCCCAGGTTTGATTTAGTTTTGCTTGCATAGATTCAGCAGTTATTTATCTTACTGGCTTCCTTTTAAAGTATACTGAAGTAGAAGTATTCAGGGAGAAGCTTGCAATGGAAAAGAGAAACAAATAGTTGTGAGGGGGTAGAAGGCGGCCTAAAGCAGGGCCTTGCTGCTTTTGGAAATATTTAGTGTTAAATGTAAATACTTAATTTTATTTTTACAACAGATTAAAGAAGAACCTAAGAATAAATCTTTCAGCTAAGTAGTAGAATCTTCCAGAAAGTTTTGAGAGGCTCTTTTAACTGTTAGTAATGTCCTGCTCAGTTTGGAACATATCAAACCATTCTTACCCCACTCACAAGGTCAGGGTCTCCAGCTCTGCTCATCACATTACAGGCTTGGCCAGACCATCATCCCACCAGCCTGTGCTAAGTGATGAGGTTGTTCTATCAATCATAGAGTTCATTTCAACTGCAACCTCACTACCAAGGCTGAGCTAACAAACCTTCAATGTTAACAGCAGAGCTGTCAAGCTCATTGCCGCTGCCGAGTTCTGCAACCATGGCTAGGCACTCAAGAAACAGGTACAGATCATGTTTGAGAACAGCATTGTGAGACCTTTTTAGTGGACTAGTGTCATGGACTACAGCTTTAAAACTACTCAGTAAATTAAGTAACAAGGTATTTTCTTTTAACTGTTTTTGTGCAGTCGTAATTTGTGAAGTGGTAGATGTTAATGTTTTCTATTTCAATAGAAATAGTTTTATATTGTAGAAGTTTACTACTATTATATAAGACCTTTTATTGTCTGAGGTACTAATAAAAACATAAATGTCATCAATAGATGTCTTTGTGAAAGTAATCCCCACTGCTGTATCAATCCACTCAAAGCAAAGAGATGTTTCTGTATTATTTTAAGTACTACACTATTATCAGTATATCTATAGCTATGTATCTTAGGCAATATCTTCCTTACCAAAGTATTTCT